GCCATCAGCTAGTTGAGCATGTCCATTCACCCAACGCAGGTGTGTCCGGAGTTGAACAGCTTGTAAGATGCCCTTGCTATCCATGATGAGCCGTCCAGTGGTGTACTTGGCCAACTTCTTGCCAAGATTGAATGAGAGATCTGGCCTCCATGTAGTTCGTACCACATGGCCCTCAGCAAGAACGCCATGTCCTCGCCAATAGTAATGGCGTGCACCTGCGTCCGAGCCATTCGATCCAAGGGATTCCCTAGGTGCCTTCGAACTCCTCCAGGATACCACCGCCAGCGACACCTCTTCTCGGCCAATCTAAAGCATCCAAGGTGCGCTACAGTCGAAGCTTTGCTGGTCTGATTGGCTTGCGGAGCGTCTGCCCACACCATGGCAGCTACGCTTTCCCAGGGCAAGGCTCAGGACGGAAAAGTCATTCTTTGACGGGCAGTCTGCTCACCTCCCTAGCCAGCTTGTTCAAAGCCAGCAACGTTCCAACTATTGCACAAGGTATTACCGAGGTATTTCTGAAAGTTTGAGCGACACCTCAACTTGAAACTGCGGACCACTTTGAGAAGCTTGCCACGACAGCGTCCCTAGAGTCACTCTGAGCTCAGCGACCTCTGCCGCAGTTGCCGCTGACACTTGTCTCGCTCGGTGTGGGGGCACGGCAATCTCATGCACCCATTCAGCAACGCATACCTCCTGGTCGACATGGACTCCACTCTCATCCTCCCGGATCCGGCATCCGGTGATATCCCACTTTCGAAACCGTAAGCGACGCCGAAGATTTCCCTTGGCCTGCAGGTACAACGGGTGGTCCGGAAGGCCCGCCAGAAGAAAGTCGTTGACGTGAAGTCCAGCCAAACGCAAAGAGACGTCCTTGACCATCTCTCAGCGCAAACAGACAGCAATCGCACTTGAGCTGGGCCCAGCCATCTGCCAACAGGGCGCTCACAACTGACTCATGGCACTTTCGCGGGGCATGAACCAAACTATATAAGGCCTTGGTCAATTTCATCAGCACCCCAGCATCGGCACGGTCAGCACCAAACATCGCGGCAAGTTCCGCCAGCGCAAAGACTATCAGGTTCTGAGACTCCAGGCTTCCAATGGTTTGAAGAAAAGCTGAAGTCACGTCACCCGACTCGACCACCATTTTGGCATTTGACGCCACAGTCAATAGAACGTGTCGTCCTGTCCTTGACAAGGCGCAGGGCAGCTGTCTCCACTTCCAACAAGTTAAGTTGCGGGCTTGGAATCTTAAGACAACCAATCTTGCCTTCGCTGTTCCAAAAGATTTTCTGGTAAGGGCCCACCTCATACTCGTGACCTTCGAAGAATCAACATTGGTCATCTCTTGAGCCGTGAGGGCCCTGACACCTCGTTCTCGAACAACGTTGGTCACCTCCACAGCCTGCGCTTCATCGAACTCTTCCTTCTCAGCTTGAGAAAGAGCTCGCCAGATGACTTCCTTTGACTTCTCCATCATCTTCTTCTGCAACAGCCAAACCGCGGCCTCCCGCGGTTTCTTTGAAAGCTTCTTGAGGTCGTGCTCGCCGATGGAGATCTCGCAGGCAAAGGCAGCATGCTCTTCCGTCTTGGCGAAGCGCGCGGCCTCCGGTTCAAGAATGAGTTCGGAATCACTGCTATCTCCGAATTGGAATAAGGTGCGGCGCGCACGTGCTCATCCTCCAGGTAGTCGGGTCGAGGAGGCAAACTCCCTGGTTCGGGCTGTTGCTGCCAGGTTGTCGGAACTGGAGGCTCTTGGCACGTGTCAGGATCGCGTCTCTCCCTTTTCGAAGGTGGTCTAAGCCGTGCTTGTTGCACTTTGCGTTGGTCTTGCGGTAGACGAAGAAAACGGTGCCCCAGGAAGCAGGGCGTGGTTCGGCTCGTGGTCTTGGTAATCCGGACGTAGGGCTCGTGGTTCTGGTAGTTCCGGACATGGCGCTCGCGGCTCTGGTAGTTCCGGACGCGGCGCTCGTGGTTCTGGTAGTTCTGACGTGGCGCTAGTTCCGGATGTAGCCCTCGCGGTTCAAGTAGTTCCAGAGGCGGCACTCGTTGTTCTGGTATTTCGGGAAGCGGCGCTTGTCGTATCCTTTCAAAATGGGTCTCTCCAGTCCAGCGGTCCATCAAAGACCTTCGGGGACGATCTGTTGTTTGGAAGTCGTCATCAATAGTTCGAGCACCGCCAGAGCGCTGAATGATTTCCGCCACTTGCCTGTCAACTCCTGCTCAGGGATTGGACTGTCCTTCGTCCGGTCTGGCGTGAACAAGGTCAACCTTCTTGGCGCCACGTGCTGCCGGATCACCATGTCGTCCGTGGTAACCCAGCTGTCCTTGTCTTGAGGTTCCGGACATGGTACCACTACCTGAGCTGGTGACAGGTCTTCTTCCATCTCGGCGCCGGGGTTTTCTGCCGAGGCGTCCAGAAACTGCTTGCCACGGCAAAAGCGACCACGGTGCCCTGGGTTGACACAACCAGCTGCTCACGTTCAGCGCAAGGTCGCACTTGGTTCAGCTTGGCCCGCCCGAAAGTTGTTCCAGTTGCCAGCCACAAAGGATAGTGTTCTCTTGAAGGGCTCGAAGAGGGCTGTCCATCCTCGGCATTGCTTGTTGGCCCGGGCTCGCCAAAGCATGCACAAACTGCCGGGCTGGTAGGTGCCCACTTGACGGGCTACTGTGTTTGACAGTCTTGAAAGTTTGAGAGAAGCATCGGCTGTTGCAAACGCTTCCTCTGCTTTGGAGCAAAGTATCAGGGCTCGGCCAAAAGCACGTCCACAATCTAAGCCGATGGGAAACGCATCCTCTCGTTGCCACCCCCTGATCCACTGGAACGGGGAATAGCCTGTCGCGGCATGGACATGGCCATTATGCCCGCGGCAGGCCAAAATCATTAGCGTCTCTATTCCAAGATCCAAGGTCTCGCAGTCAAGCTTTTCGACAGTTCTCTTCAAGACCTAGATCGTCCGCTCCTCGATGCCCAGCAGTTAATGCGCCTCTGCTGGGGTAGTGAGCAGTCCAAGTCCGCTGCATGAAGTAGGGGGCAGCGTCGGTCACTAGTCGAGGGCTCGGATTCGACCCCATCCAAGCGCAGACCACTGCTTTGATCACTTCCTTGGCAGTTGGCTCCCAGGCAGCATCGGCAGCATACTTCTTCAAGAATGGACCATGGTGAAGCGGCTTGCTCGGCCCACCATCACCAAAAACTTCGCTCTCCTGCTCAGCCGGCCTCTCCAAGACGTAGTCTAGAGTCTAGGACCTGCTATGAGACGTCACGCCCTGGATGTTTGAACTCGCAACGAACGCCACCCAGGATTTCCTCCACCAATTGCGGGGGAAACTTCATTGGCTCACGGGGAACCGCATGCTCTTTATGTCCAGGGCAGTGGCATTGTCGACGAGCAGCTGCAAGCCAAGGGCTCGTCGTCAGAACCCGCCACTTCTTGCCATGAGCTTCAGAGGACTAGTAGAAGCAGCCCTCAACCACAATGTCACACAGCTTGCGTCCACAAGAAGTAGCCGCCTGCATAATGTTCTGCTCGGCCTCGCTATTTCTCCAAGTCATATGGTACCTCCCGCGCGAAATCACGGCCTCCTGCAGGCTCCTGTGACAAAACTCTGGCAAGCTCCAGGTATCGTCTTTGGGCTCTTTGGCGGTTCCGCCTCTGTCCTGGAGCCTCTTCCGTTCTAGGAGAAGGCACGCCTCGAACTGCAGGAGTGAACCAGACAAAGGCAGGCTCTTCATCACGAATCTTGGCAGCAGCCCTTGCGGTCACACTCTTTCGGTCAAGCATCCAACCAGATTCTTTGTAGAAGCCTTCATAGAGGATCCCATAGGAGCCGGCAGTGTGTCCAAAGATGGCCACCAGCATCCGAACCCGTTCCAGGCGTGCCTTGCACGCTTTTCCCGGGCTAAGAAAAGCTTGATCGATCATTGGCTGCAACGATTGCTGCTGGTGAAAGTCCTGAGGCACAAGAGGACAAATGCAAATCGAGTTGATCATTGGCGAGGTCAGCCACACAGCTCGTCCTCGCCTCGAAGAAACCCAAGCCTGACTCACGCATATCGGGCTCACTTGCCAAAGACTCGTGTCCTACAGCAGCACCCGGTCCCGCCGCTTGTCCTGACGGCGGAGCCGAACTTGGGGAAGCCGGGGTAGACGAGGATCGTCCAGGAGGCCCAGGTGGAGAAACCATTTCTCTGCTTGACCATGCCCTGGATTATCGCAGGCTAGTCTGCAACTCCCGGAACAAATCATCTTCCCTGACAATCAGGTCTGAAATGCCTTCATTTTGCTTCCAGTGAAGTCGGTGCCAGCACTCCAGTTTCGAGAAACTGCCAGGGATCCGTAATGTTTGAAGAGGCGAGCTTCGAAGAACAAAGACAAGCTTCGCCAGGCCGCCAGCGGTGTCGAACTCATCAGGAAACAAATGCTTCACTACACTGTTTGCCGGTCCAGTAAAACGAGACCATACTCTGGCAGCGGCTCCACGCCGCTCCGTGTCTTTCAGGGTCTTCTCATACCACTTGCAAACCACTTCAAAGGTTGGAAATGTTCCAGGATCTCCGTCCCGTCCCACGTGGGGACACTGGGCTCATCCTTCAGTATCGCAGCACAGCCGGCGGTCGCTCCAGGAGCTCTGCTGCCATGGAACGGCCAGAGGCCCTTGTGGCACTGCTCGAGCAATCCCACCCTGCGGCACTCAGTCTCTGCAGCTCCAGAAACTTCACATGCGCGACCGACTCTGCTGCCCGCACCTACCAACAGTGTCATAATATTCAAAGAAATTACCACGTAGAGCCCCTACAAAATGGCCCCTTTAACCCACGGTTGCTAGGTCCAGGCAGCAATCACTACATTAACATTACTACTGCTACTCGCCGCCTCCTCGGGAATGTATGTGTCAACTTTAAGTCAAACGTAGCGCCTAGGGGGGGAAGGCGGCTGGTAGTAGAAGGTCATTTGTCACGCTTCACGGAAGAACACTAGAGAGTCTGGGCTTCTTGCGGGCCAGGCAGTCCAGAAGGACATAGGTGACCAACGAAAGGCAAATGATCCCTGCCACCTGTCTTGAAAACAGCTGCTGCGCAGCATGTTTAACAAAAAGGCAAATTGAGTCGCCAGGATCACAATGGAAAGTGCAAGACGTTGGCCAGTGGATGTAGTGCAATCTTTCCCATGGCTCCACGTGTCCTTCGTGTGACGGTCTGCCACACAATGATCTTAAAAAGCCCGCCACACCCACCAAAGGAAGACTACAAATCCGGATGCGTGCTGTCCTCACAGCGACTGTGACGTCTGCAAGCCTCATCCTGTCCCAAGCATTTAGGGTTCAGTCTGTTGCACACTTCTGCTTGATGACTTCTGTATCCCTAGCCCCGGCCTCAGGCTTGTCAGGCTTGCTACCCATGCTGATTTCCTGGCATTGTCCAACTCTGACTGTCTGTCAAAGCACAAAACTGGAAGCACAGCTGCGCTTCAGCCTCGAATTCACCGAGAGCTGCATCCATCCTTTCAGCTCACTTTGTCAGGACTCTGAAGCAAGCTAGAGCCACATGCAGTCACGCCGACCGGGTAATCCCCTTTCATTTCTACCCCAACGCCGTCCTCAGCTTGGATTTGGTAAGAGTTCCAAAGAAATCCTGTACAGGGCTGCCACGAGCTGGCCTGAAGTGTGCCAATTGCACCGCTTCTCGAACAGCAGCCTGACAAACTTGTGGCGATTTCTATAGCAAAGGCATTGGCCCTTGCAAGGACCTCTCCAGGTCGTGCCATCTGCGCTGGCCTCTAAGTGCTCTGTGCTGAGTTCACAAGAGAAGCGAAGCGTCGCTGTTGCAGTGTGTTGCCCTCTGCCTGCTCGACTGCATTGGCCTTGCATGGCCCTCCTCTGCCACCTTTGAAGTCTCCGCCTCAAAAGAGGACTCCACACAAGGAGGCTTCCCTTTCGAGCAAGACTGCTTTTTGTTTCACGCTATTGCAGCTGCCTGCTCCAGGCTTGTCAGCGGCGGCATGGACGGCAGGCAAAGCCACCGGCGGATCCTGGAGCGCAAGTCCAAGTTCCCTTACAGCATGCGCAAACCTATTCCCCATCTGCACAATTAATTCAAGATGTCCTTGGCTCACAGGCAATGCAGACCACGTAGCTGCTGTAGGTCAATGGGATGAGCAAGTGCACCTGGCAAAGCTTTGCTTCCAGTATCTTAAAAGTCGCTCCGCACAGGGCTGCGCTTTGTGGCCCACCTGCCACTGATGCTGACGCGAGGTGTCTGCGAGCAAGTAGGCGAGCTCTGCAAGTGCCAGCAGCTGAAAAGCCTTCAGCTCTGCAAATGCCAGCCGCGACAATCATGCAAGGATGCAGGCTAATGGCTAGCTCAAAATGGTTGTAAGCACTCTGGCACATGAGCCGGAATCTGCTGTACATGCGGAGTGGACAGCAGCACACAACAGCAAGCCGGCAGCTGCTGGCAGCTGCTGGCAGCTGTGATGCTTTGGCATACTTCGATGTGATGTATCCTAGTTCAGACTGACCTGCACTGACTCAGTCGCATGACCTCCTACCTTCCCACAAGAAACAAACAGTTTGCGCAGTTTGCGCAGCAGCTACTGCTACTGCTTGTGGCGCCTGAATATGTGTGCTTGTCTGGGCTCTTACTCTGCAGCTTGGCACTCGGCCCAATAGCTAATGTTCTGTTTGGGCAGCCCCCTGAGAGACCCTGAGCCTTCGGATCAAGCTTCTTTGCTTTAGTTCTCGAATTTCCGCCTCCTGCGTGCTATCATCCATCACTTCCCTGTCTTTGTTGCCCATGCAGTGCATCGGCATCGGCAGACCAGCTTCTGGTTTCTTTTTGTGGCCTGGGCACTGGCAGGCCTGTGTCCGAGCTGGTGTTTATAATGGCAGCCGGACTGGGCTGCAAAATCCTGGCTCATGGATTGCGCTTGTGAGACTCCCTTCCACACAGTCCTCTTCGAATGGCACAACTAAGAAGCATCAGGATGGTAGGGAGCCCACCAGATCTCGCATGGCCACGTACCACCAGGTCCTGTGTGATGCGGACACTTTAGGGGTACTACGTTCCTTGTTCATGGGACAAACTCAAAACACTTGAGAAGAGGAGGGCACCTCAAAGAACCTTCGTCAGAGCTCGCAGCGCATGCAGCGCGTGCCCCCATGACACAGAGCAAGTCGAAGGTGGCACAGCCAACCTGAGGTGCATCCAGGCTCACACTTTTTAGCTTTTTGAAAGGCTTTTCCCTGGGGCAAACTCCGCAATGGCAAAGGCATCTGCTTGCACTGCAAGGCTGGCTGCAGAGCCTGAGAGGCGTTTGAAAAAGTCTCCCATACCTTGAGCCCAGGCATGAGCCGCATGACCGCATGCATCCAGGTGCCCGTACAGAGCAGGACCGGTGCAGCATCAGCCTCAAGAAGCGCACAACGCACGCAACGCAAGCAATGCTGAAAAGCTCAGCTTTTCCCTCTGAACATGTTGGCCGCGAGCGATGGCCAGCAGCGTTGCGCGGGCCACTTCTTCCGAGAGCCGTAGCCTCTAAAGCCACGACAGCATGCAGCAGCTTTGCGGCGTTGCAGCTTAGCAGCTTAGCGACATGTGCTAAGTCCGCAGCAAGGAGGCCAGGAGCCGTGCATGCCTTACAAAACCCAAAAGGGAGAGGGAGCCTCTCTTTCCCTGGGCCAGGCCCCCCACCGCCGGGTGGCCTCCGACAGGCGGGCCTCAAAGTTTGAAGCAGTGCCAAGAACACTCTGTCCGGGCAACTCGGCGCCATGCGACGGTGTAGAAGCAGCACAAGACCAAGAGCACCCAGACCTGCAGAGAGGCTCATTGAGACTCATGTTAGAGGAGTTCCAACAATTCACAGGCAGCCGGCTACGAAGCCGTAGGTGTCGAGGTCAGAGTCACAGCCCTGATGTGACTTAGAAATTTCCAAGCAACGTTGCATTCTACTCTTTCTACTCTTCCTGGCCTCGGTGAAAAAAACCGACAGCAGGCTGGTCATGACTAGAACTGCACCCAGAGAAACAACCCATGGCTTTGGGACCCAACCCCAAGTCTTGAGATCTGAAAGGCCTCGGACTTGCATAAGGCCAACTTGTTAGACATCAACTCTCAGCAACTTGGGGCTGCCTTTGCAAGCACTACTACCTACAGTGTCCTGTTTGGAGGCACTTGGAGTCACACCCTTTAACAGCCACGTTAACTCTCAGCTTCGAGTTTCTGCAGCCATAAGCAAAGCTAGACTGCAACGCGCCAAAAAGACTCTCGGTGTGCAGGGAACGCAGAAAGCTTCCGCGGCAGTCCTTCACTTTTCGAAGACATCAGACAAAGGCGACGACACTGGTTGCCATTGCCAAAACAAAGAGATGTTTGCGCAAAGCTGGGACTGCGAGAGCCTCAGAAGAAGCTTGGCTGAATTTGGCAATCTTGCCTACAAGGGCCTACACTCTGTCCTGTGCTTTCATGCTTCGTCGCTCTTCTTCTACGGGCGAAAGAGAGGCCTGCGCCTTCCCATGCTTCGTCGCTCTCTCTCTCTCTCTCTCTCTCTTCTTCTTCTACAGGCTATACTCACCCCTTACGGGTGAGTCGGGGTTACACCCCGAGCCGGATGGTCCGCTGGTTTGTTGTGCTGGACCGGCTTGGAGTTCACCGGAAATTGACACAGACCCCCCTGTAAAAGGTCAACTGGTTGGATCAATATCACTTCCCAGCAAACCGACGCTCAAAGGTTCTTTTGACTCGAATTTGGTAACTCACAACTCAGCTCAGCAATTGAGGAATGTCCATGTACGGTGGCAGGGCCAAATATGTCCCTATATACTTCAACCACAAAGGGGTGCTTGAGCCAAATAACAAGGAACATTCCATAGGAGAGAAACTACCTGCAACCTACACAACAATG